TACATGTTGTCAGATTGGTGAATAGGACAGCTAGCAGATAGAGAGGTGAAGCAGTCCTGTGACCCTTCATAGACACACACAAGAGGATAACGAACAGCTTCGATCAAAGAGAGGGGAACGCGCTAGCATGGAAACAGGAAGGACTGTAGCAGGAGAAGAGAGACCTACAGAGAGATTGTATAGGTGCAGTTCTAGCAGTAAGATGATATAGGCATAAATGAAAATACAGGTATATTACAAGAGATGGAGAGGGAACTGCTATAGCGGATGGAGAGGCACATGTGGAAACAGCTACCAGAAGAGAACTAGCACGTAACAGCTGCAGGAATACAGAAATGACAGCTATAGAGAGAGAAGGAGGAACATCTAGCAGTAGAGAGAGGAAGAACATCTAGCATGGGAGAGGAAGGAACAAGCTAGAAGATGAGTAAGAGAAGGTAACAGCTAGCAGTGAGAGAGAGGAAGGAAAGAACCAGCGTTCAGCAGGAGGAAGATCAGCTAAGAAAGAGAAACTAGCAGGAGAGAGGAGGGAGACAGCTAGCAGAGAGAGAGGAGGGAACAGCTAGCAGAGAGAACAGAGGGAACGCTAGCAGGAGAGAGGAGGGAACCAGCTAGCAGAGAGAGAGGAGGAACACGCTAGCAGGAGAAGGGGAACAGCTAGCAAGAGAGAGAGAAGGAACAGCTACAGGAGAGAGAGGGAAGTACAGCAGCTAGCGAGAAGAGGAGACGCAGCAAGAGAGAGGAAGGAACAGCTAGCAGGAGAGAGGGGAAGGACAGCTACAGGAGAGAGAGAGGGAACAGCTAGCGAGAGAGAGAGGACAGTAGCAGGAGAGAGAGGGAGAACAGCTAGAGGCATAGAGAGAGGGGAAGGAACACGCTAGCAGGAGAGAGAGAGAACAGCAGATAGGAGAGAAGGAGGAACAGCTAGCAGAGAGAGAGAGGGAACAGCTAGCAGGAGAGAGGGAACAGCTAGAGGGAGACGGGGAAACAGCTAGCAGGAGAGAGAGAGGAACAGCTAGCAGAGAGAGAAAAATAAACAGCTAGCAGGAGAGAGAGAGAGAAGGACACAGCTAGCAGGAGAGAGGGGAAGCCGCTAGCAAGAGAGAGGAAGGAACAAGCTAGCAAGAGAGAGAGGAAGGAACAGCTAGCAGGAGAGAGGGGGAAGAAACCAGCTAGCAGAGAGAGGGGAAGCAGCTAGCAGGAGAGAGAGGAAGGAACACGCTAGCAGGAGAGAGAAGAGAGGAGGAAACAGCTAGCAGGAGAGATGGGGGAAGAGGAACAGCTAGCAGAGAGAGAGGGAGGAACAGCTAGCAGAGAGAGGGAAGGACAGCAGCAGAGAGGAGGGGAAGGTACACAGCTAGCAGGAAGAGAGGGAAGGAACAGCTAGCAGGAAGAGAGGGGAAGCACAGCTAGCAGGAGAGAGGGAACAGCTAGCAGGAGAAGAGGAACAGACTAGCAGGAGAGAGGGGAACAGCGGAGGGGAACAGCTAGCAGGAAGAGAGGGGAAGGAACACAGCTAGCAGGAGAGAGAGAGAGAGAGAAGGAACAGCTAGCAGGAGAGAGAGGGAACAGCTAGCAGAAGAGGGACAGCTGAGAGGGAAACAGCTAGCAGGAGAGAGAGAGGAACAGCTAGCAGGAGGGATAAACACTAGCAGGAGAGAGAGCGAGAGAAGAACAGCTAGCAGGAGAGAGGGGAACCGCTAGCAAGAGAGAGAGGAAGGAACACAGCTAGCAGGAGAGAGAGAGAGAGGAAGGAACACAGCTAGCAGGAGAGAGGGGGGAAGAAACAGCTAGCAAGAGAGAGGGGAACCGCTAGCAAGAGAGAGAGGAAGGAACACAGCTAGCAGGAGAGAGAGAGAGAGGAAGGAACACAGCTAGCAGGAGAGAGGGGGGAAGAAACAGCTAGCAAGAGAGAGAGAGGGGAAGGAACAGCTAGCAGGAGAGAGGGGAAGGTACCGCCAGCAGGAGAGAGAGGGAAGGAACAGCTAGTAGGAGAGAGAGGGGAAAGAACAGCTAGTAGGAGAGAGAGGGGAAGGCACAGCTAGCAGGAGAGAGAGAGGAACAGCGAGCAGGAGAGAGAGGAACAGCTAGCAGGAGAGAGAGGAAGGAACACAGCTAGCAGGAGAGAGAGAGAGGAAAGAACACAGCTAGCAGGAGAGCGAGAGGAACAGCTAGCAGGAGAGAGAGAGAGGAACAGCTAGCAGGAGAGAGAGGGGAACAGCTGAGAGGGGAACAGCTAGCAGGAGAGGAGGGGGAAGGGAACACAGCTAGCAGGAGAGAGAGGGGAACAGCTAGCAGGAGAGAGAGGGGAACAGCTAGCAGGAGAGAGAGAGAACAGCTAGCAGGAGAGAGAGGGGAACAGCTGAGAGGGGAACAGCTAGCAGGAGAGAGAGGGGAAGGAACACAGCTAGCAGGAGAGAGAGTGGAACAGCTAGCAGGACAGTGAGGGGAACAGCTAGCAGGAGAGAGAGGGGAACAGCTGAGAGGGGAACAGCTAGCAGGAGAGAGGGAAAGGAACACAGCTAGCAGGAGAGAGTGGAACAGCTAGCAGGAGAGAGAGAGGAAGGAACACAGCTAGCAGGAGAGAGAGTGGAACAGCTAGCAGGACAGCGAGGGGAACAGCTAGCAGGAGAGAGAGAGGAACAGCTAGCAGGAGAGAGAGAGAGGATCAGCTAGCAGGAGAGAGAGAGAAGATCAGCTAGCAGGAGAGAGAGAGAGGAACAGCTAGAAGGAGAGAGAGGGGAAGAATAGCTAGAATGAGAGAGGAAGGAACACAGCTAAAAGAGAGAGATAGGAACACAGCTAGCAGGAGAGAGAGAGAGGAACAGCTAGAAGGAGAGAGAGGGGAAGAATAGCTAGAATGAGAGAGGAAGGAACACAGCTAAAAGAGAGAGATAGGAACACAGCTAGCAGGAGAGAGAGAGAGGAAAGAACACAGCTAGCAGGAGAGAGAGAGAGGAAGGAACACAGCTAAAAGAGAGCGATGGGAACATGGCTAGCAGGAAAGATAGGAACACACAGCTGGCAGGTGAGAGACAGAGAAACACACGGCTAGCAGGAAAGATAGGAACACATACAGTATCTAGCAGGTGTCCCCATCAGAACAAGCTATCCCCTGGGGAGTTTATAATCACTCTGTTGGGTTCACGTCAAATTATGCTGACTCAGATTATAAAAATGGATGCAAGCTTTTCTTGTGAGTTTTGATTGTTTAAACCAGGCCTAGACTGAATTAAGATGTGTATTATTTAGACAGGGATAAACATTCTTATCATCATTACAGCTAGATTAATCATCTTCAGATGTGCCTCTCTTTTTGGCTCCTGTTAAGAAAGCACTTCAGTTAAATCAACTATTTCTTTATTCAGTCCTTCAAAAAACATACAAAAATGGCTTCAGGCATTATCTGTCAATCATAATTCCTTAATACAGCAAATTAAAGATCCTCCAGCTGAGAAATTAACATTTTCTTCTCTTCCCCCCTCACCCCTCTTATCCTTCTCTTCCCCCCTCACCCCTCTTATCCTTCTCTTCCCCCCTCACCCCTCTCTTCCCGCCTCACCCCTCTCATCCTTTCCTTCCCCCCTCACCCCTCTCATCCTTCCTTCCCCCTCACCCCGCCTCACCCCTCTCATCCTTCTCTTCCCCCCTCACCCCTCTCATCCCGCTCACCCCTCTCATCCTTCTCTTCCCCCTCACCCCTCTATCCTTCTCTTCCCCCTCACCCCTCAATCCTTCCTTCCTCCCCCACCCCCTCTCATCCTTCTCTTCCCCCTCACCCCTCTTATCCTTCTCTTCCCCCTCACCCCTCTTATCCTTCTCTTCCCCCCTCACCCCTCTCATCCTTCTCTTCCCCCCTCACCCCTCTTATCCTTCTCTTCCCGCCTCACCCCTCTTATCCTTCTCTTCCCCCCTCACCCTTCTCCCCTCATCCTCTCTTCCCTCTTCCCCCTCACCCCTCTCTCTTCCCCCCTCACCCCTCTCTCTCTCAACCTCTCATCCTCTCTTCCTCCCCCTCACCCTCTCATCCTTACCTTCTTTCCCGCCTCACCCCTCTCATCCTTCTCTTCCCCCCTCACCCCTCTTATCCTTCTCTTCCTCTTCCTTTCTTCCCCCTCACCCCCTCTCATCCTTCTCTTCCCCCCTCACCCTCTTATCATCTCTTCCCTCCTCCCCTCTATCCTTCTCCCCCTCACCCCTCTCATCCTTCTCTTCCCGCCTCACCCCCTCTTCCGCCTCACCTCTCATCCTTCTCTTCCCGCCTCATCCCTCTTTTATCCTTCTCTTCCCACCCCATCCCTCTTTCATCCTTCTCTTCCCAGCCCATCCCTCTTTTATCATAGGAGATCTTTAATAAGAAGCTTGCTAAATGATGTAAATGTAAATCTTTAATAAGAAGCTTGACAAATAAAACTTCACCCCTCAGGGGAGGAACATACATCTCCATGAGTAAGTCCAAAAGAATCCTCCACAGATTTAAAACAGACAACAATAAACAATCATTGAGGCATAAAACATTAAAATCCCATCACCTGGAGATGAATAACAAACAGCAGAGTCAAACACAGAACCGTAGGGAAAAAACACTAATCACTGGAAAAAGAGGCAGATTTTCCCTGAGACAATAAAAATGACAATAAAAAGGCAAGCTAAGTACAATATGTTAAATGTTCTCTGATTACATGGAAACAACGTTGATTCAACTTGTTTGTTCCATAAAGATTCTCCCATAGGTTTTAAATTCATTACCCACAGAATTGATCATTGAATTATATTCTATCATTGAATCCTGGTGCCAAAATGGCGGCAATTACACTTCTAAATCCTAAGAAAAGTTAGACTAACTAATATCACATCACACTCATTTTGGGTCATTCTAAAAAATCTTTCAACATTTTAAAATCCTAATTTATTAATTTCATTCAAACAAATCTTGTGGAGTAGCTTTACTGCTCACCAGTACCTAAAGGCCTATTCAGGAGGATGGTTGTCACCCCAGATCACTTGACCCCATCCAGTTTGAGGATCCAGGCCTGGGCCGGGGTGGGGGGTAACTCAGGGAGGAGGATGATCAGACCCCGGGGGTGGAGAGGAGCCCATCTCAGAGGCTCTAGGCTCCCCAATAATGTCACCTGGGAGAGCGGTGAGAGGGAGAGAGCAGAGAGAGAGCAGGGGAGAGAGAGAGAGATAGAAGAGAGAGAGAAAGATTGAGAGAGAGAGCAGAGAGAGAGAGAGAGAGAGAAAAGAGAGCAGAGAGAGAAGAAAGTAGAGAGAGAAGAGAGCAGAGAGAGATCCACAAGTCAGTGGCTAGGCCAATACTTCACTTTAACTATTCATCATAAAGTCTGGGGCCATATGTATGAAAGGTCTCAGAATGGTAGCGCTCATCGAGGATCAGTCTTGCCTTTTAGATTATAACGTATAAGATTATATGTACACTTCTACGCTGTTTATACACTGAGATGCGTTGTGGATACGGGCCCTGATCCTAGATCAGATCTACACTACATATATTATAGGAATAATAATAACTGACATCACATACACCATGTGGATCAAAATAATACTGCATCACTCCACTCACTGTGGTGCTCTCTGCTGCAATAGGTTCAACTCCACTCACCGTGGTGCTCTCTGCTGCAATAGGTTCAACTCCACTCACCGTGGTGCTCTCTGCTGCAATAGTTTCAACTCCACTCACCGTGGTGCTCTCTGCTGTAATTGGTTCAGACAGGTGGAATGTGTACACAGTGGGTTTCGTCGTGAAGACAGCATACACACTGGAGCATTTGGAATTAGAGGTGTACCTACAGAGCGAGAGGGGAGAGAGAGAGAGCGAGAGGGGAGAACGAGAGAGAGAGAGAGGGAAGAACGAGAGAGAGAGAGAGCAGCACATTACTTTGTTTTCATTTCCTGAGCAGGACTTTATGATCCCTGAGGACTCAGAATCAGATGTGATACAGGCTGGAACAAAACCCTCCATCCACTCCACCCCTCTCCATCCCTCTCCATCCACTCCATCCCTCTCCATCCACTGCATCCCTCTCCATCCACTCCACCCCTCTCCACCCCTCTCCATCCACTCCATCCCTCTCCATCCACTCCATCCCTCTCCATCCACTGCATCCCTCTCCATCCCTCTCCATCCACTGCATCCCTCTCCATCCCTCTCCATCCCTCTCCATCCCTCTCCATCCACTGCATCCCTCTCCATCCACTCCACCCCTCTCCATCCACTGCATCCCTCTCCATCCCTCTCCATCCACTGCATCCCTCTCCATCCCTCTCCATCCCACTCCATCCCTCTCCATCCACTGCATCCCTCTCCATCCCTCTCCATCCCTCTCCATCCACTGCATCCCTCTCCATCCCCCTCCATCCACTGCATCCCTCTCCATCCCTCTCCATCCACTGCATCCCTCTCCATCCCTCTCCATCCCTCTCCATCCCCCTCCCCCTCCATCCACTCCATCCCTCTCCATCCACTGCATCCCTCTCCATCCACTGCATCCCACTCCACCCCTCTCCATCCCTCTCCATCCACTCCATCCCTCTCCATCCACTGCATCCCTCTCCATCCACTCCACCCCATCCCTCTCCATCCACTCCACCCCATCCCTCTCCATCCACTGCATCCCTCTCCATCCCTCTCCATCCCTCTCCATCCCTCTCCATCCCTCTCCATCCCCCTCCATCCCTCTGCATCCCTCTGCATCCCTCTCCATCCACTGCATCCCTCTCCATCCCTCTCCATCCCCCTCCATCCCTCTCCATCCACTCCATCCCTCTCCATCCACTGCATCCCTCTCCATCCCTCTCCATCCACTCCATCCCTCTCCATCCACTGCATCCCTCTCCATCCACTCCATCCCTCTCCATCCACTGCATCCCTCTCCATCCACTGCATCCCTCTCCATCCACTCCATCCCTCTCCATCCACTCCATCCCTCTCCATCCCCCTCCATCCACTCCATCCCTCTCCATCCCTCTCCATCCCTCTCCATCCACTGCATCCCTCTCCATCCACTCCATCCCTCTCCATCCCTCTGCATCCCTCTCCATCCCTCTCCATCCCCCTCCATCCCTCTCCATCCCTCTCCATCCACTCCATCTCTCTCCATCCCTCTCCATCCCTCTCCATCCACTGCATCCCTCTCCATCCCCCTCCATCCTCTCCATCCCTCTCCATCCCCCTCCATCCTCTCCATCCACTCCATCCCTCTCCATCCACTGCATCCCTCTGCATCCCACTCCATCCCTCTCCATCCACTCCATCCCTCTCCATCCCTCTCCATCCCTCTCCATCCACTCCATCCCTCTCCATCCCTCTCCATCCCTCTCCATCCACTGCATCCCTCTGCATCCCACTCCATCCCTCTCCATCCACTCCATCCCTCTCCATCCCTCTCCATCCCTCTCCATCCCTCTCCATCCTCTCCATCCCTCTCCATCCCTCTCCATCCCTCTCCATCCACTGCATCCCTCTCCATCCCTCTCCATCCCTCTCCATCCCTCTCCATCCCTCTCCATCCACTCCATCCCTCTCCATCCCTCTCCATCCACTGCATCCCACTCCATCCCTCTCCATCCACTCCATCCCTCTCCATCCCTCTCCATCCCTCTCCATCCACTCCATCCCACTCCATCCCTCTCCATCCCTCTCCATCCCCCTCCATCCCTCTCCATCCCTCTCCATCCCTCTGCATCCCTCTCCATCCCCCTCCATCCCTCTCCATCCCACTGCATCCCTCTCCATCCCACTGCATCCCTCTCCATCCACTCCATCCCTCTCCATCCACTCCACCCCTCTCCATCCCTCTCCATCCCTCTCCATCCCTCTCCATCCACTGCATCCCTCTCCATCCCTCCCCATCCCTCTCCATCCACTGCATCCCTCTCCATCCACTGCATCCCTCTCCATCCAATATTTCCCCCATCATCCCTTGACAAACCCCACTAGAAGCCCCATCACCTCCCTCCCGCTCCCTCTCCTACCAGACAGGTACGGTGGCGTTCTCGGTCTGGATCCTCCAGGGTTTGGAGGAGTAGATGGCCTCTCCGTTGACCTCCAGCCAGGCCCCCATGCCCCTCAGCCTCTCCTCAAACACTGGGGGGATCATACCATCAGGGGTAGGACCCACATTCAGCAGGTAGTTACCCCCCATGGCCACTGTTTGGACCAGGTCCTGGAGAGGAGAACATGACGTCGGACCAGACAGACTGCATATGTAGTAAGATGTATGTCCCACTAACATAAACCTAGCATTTCTAAATATCTAATCAATGCAACCATACAGAGTGTACAAAGCATGTGTCAAGAACTGCAACACTGCTGGGTTTTTCATGCTCAACAGTTTCCTGTGTGTGTCAAGAATGGTCCACCACTCAAAGGACATCCAGCCAATTTGACACAACTGTTGGAAGCATTGGAGTCAACATGGGCCAGCATCCCTGTGGAACGCTTTTCGACACCTTGTAGAGTCCACGCCCCAACGAATTAAGGCAGTTCTGAGGGCAAATATTAGGACGGTGTTCATGTTTTGTAGTATTTTTTGTAACATTCAGTTTGTTCTCATTTACTCTAAAAACAGCCAAGTTTGTCTATTCTAGTTTCTACCACTTGAACTGATTGAGTCTCTGCTTGATTGGGTCTCTGCTTGATTGGGTCTCTGCTTGACACCAACAAACGCTGCATAATATCTGGCTTTGTGCCCTCCCTAACTATCTATGAGACTATCGGAGCTCTGTGGGTGTAAAATGTATTGACCATTTTGATACCTTCTGGAAACAAAAGCTTGTTTTATAAGGAGGATGGGATCCACCCAAATCATTTGGGTTCCTGGATCCTTTCACAGCATTATAAGGCTGTGTTGAGACAATGACTTATCAATGACCCAAGCCCAGCTCAGCGAATCCCTACCATGGTGTCGCTGAGTTGTCATAATGCTTCCACAAATGTACATTATCCCAGGGGCATTGGAAGACAGTCTAAATACCCTAATTTATGTCCCTCTTACTCCCCTGAATGACTCTGCTGATCCTACAGCTATTGTATACAGTAATCATGTGCCTATGAACCAGAGTGATACTGATAGCACTGAGGCGGTGTGCCCTAGTAGGAAGTCTACTGTGTGCAGCTCACCCTGCAGTAACATAAATAACATGAGCATGTCTACCTCTGCTAAGCTTCCCAGTAAAGCAATGAAAACAATCAAGCATCCCAGAAAAGTGCTAAAATAGCCCACGTTAACATATGTAGCTTAAGAAACAAGTTTCATGAAATAAAAAAATTTGCTAGTAACAGATGACATTCATATTCTGACTATCTCTGAAACTCACTTAGATAATACCTTTGATGATACAGTGGTAGAAATACATGGTTATAACATCTACGGAAAATACAGAAATGCCAAAAGGTAGAGGTGTTGCCGTTTAAATTCAGAACCACATTCCTGTAAAGCTTAGAGAGGATCTCATGTTAAATACTGTTGAAGTAATATGGCTACAGGTTCATCTGCCTCACCTAAAGCCCATTCTGGTGGGAAGCTGCTATAGACCACCAAGTGCTAACAGTCAGTATCTGGATAACACGTGTGAAATGCTTGATAATGTATGTGTATATCACTAAAGAAAAAGCTTCAAACTGTACAGTGCCTTGCAAAAGTATTCATCCCCCTTGGCGTTTTTCCTATTTTGTTGCATTACAACCTGTAATTCAAATGGATTTCTATTTGGATTTCATGTAATGGACATACACAAAATAGTCCAAATTGGTGAAGTGAAATTTAAAAAAATAACTTGTTTCAAAAAATTCCAAAAAAATGTATAATGGAAAAGTGGTGCGTACATATGTATTCATCCCCTTTGCTATGAAGCCCCTAAATAAGATCTGGTGCAACCAATTACCTTCCGAAGTCACATAATTAGTTAAATAAAGTCCACCTGTGTGCAATCTAAGTGTCACATGATCTGTCACATGATCTAAGTATATATACACCTGTTCTGAAAGGCCCCAGAGTCTGCAACACCACTAAGCAAGGGGCACCACCAAGCAAGCGGAACCATGAAGACCAAGGAGCTCTCCAAACAGGTCAGGGACAAAGTTGTGGAGAAGTACAGATCAGGGTTGGGTTATAAATAAATATCCTAAACTTTGAACATCCCACGGAGCACCATTACATCCATTATAAAAAAAATGGAAAGAATATGGCACCATAACAAACCTGCCAAGAGAGGGCCGCCCACCAAAACACACGGACCAGGCAAGGAGGGCATTAATCAGAGAGGCAACAAAGAGACCAAAGATAACCCTGAAGGAGCTGCAAAGCTTGTTTCACAAGAAAAAAATATTTTGCATCTTCAAAGTGGTAGGCATGTTGTGTAAATCAAATGATACAAACACCCCCAGAAAATCCATTTTAATTCCAGGTTGTAAGGCAACAAAATTGGAAAAATGCCAAGGGGGGGTGAATACTTTCGCAAGCCACTGTAACTAATGCATGCAAACTGGTTCAGGGTATTAGCCAACATACCAGGGTAGTTACAAACAGCACAGGAATGAAATCATATATTGTTCACATCTTTACTAATGCTGCAGAAATTAGCTTTAAATCCATCAGATGTAGTGATCACAATACTGTAGATGACTACCCTATTTAGATCAGTATAGATGACTACCCTATTTAGATCAGTAGAGATGACTACCCTATTTAGATCAGTAGAGATGACTACCCTATTTAGATCAGTAGAGATGACTACCCTATTTAGATCAGTATAGATGACTACCCTGTTTAGATCAGTAGAGATGACTACCCTATTTAGATCAGTAGAGATGACTACCCTATTTAGATCAGTAGAGATGACTACCCTATTTAGATCAGTATAGATGACTACCCTGTTTAGATCAGTAGAGATGACTACCCTGTTTAGATCAGTAGAGATGACTACCCTATTTAGATCAGTAGAGATGACTACCCTGTTTAGATCAGTAGAGATGACTACCCTGTTTAGATCAGTAGAGATGACTACCCTGTTTAGATCAGTAGAGATGACTACCCTGTTTAGATCAGTAGAGATGACTACCCTGTTTAGATCAGTAGAGATGACTACCCTGTTTAGATCAGTAGAGATGACTACCCTATTTAGATCAGTAGAGATGACTACCCTGTTTAGATCAGTAGAGATGACTACCCTATTTAGATCAGTAGAGATGACTACCCTATTTAGATCAGTAGAGATGACTACCCTGTTTAGATCAGTAGAGATGACTACCCTATTTAGATCAGTAGAGATGACTACCCTGTTTAGATCAGTAGAGATGACTACCCTGTTTAGATCAGTAGAGATGACTACCCTGTTTAGATCAGTAGAGATGACTACCCTATTTAGATCAGTAGAGATGACTACCCTATTTAGATCAGTAGAGATGACTACCCTATTTAGATCAGTAGAGATGACTACCCTATTTAGATCAGTAGAGATGACTACCCTATTTAGATCAGTAGAGATGACTACCCTATTTAGATCAGTAGAGATGACTACCCTATTTAGATCAGTAGAGATGACTACCCTGTTTAGATCAGTAGAGATGACTACCCTATTTAGATCAGTATAGATGACTACCCTATTTAGATCAGTATAGATGACTACCCTATTTAGATCAGTATAGATGACTACCCTATTTAGATCAGTATAGATGACTACCCTATTTAGATCAGTAGAGATGACTACCCTATTTAGATCAGTAGAGATGACTACCCTATTTAGATCAGTAGAGATGACTACCCTGTTTAGATCAGTATAGACGAGTGTCCTTTCCTCACTGGGCAGGCACATCATAGTGACTAGAGTGTGTCCGGGGGTGGATCAGTGCAGTGTGTGTTCCCCCTCTCACCTGTACGATACTGGGCAGGTCCATCATAGTGTGTTCCCCCTCACCTGTACGATACGGGGCAGGCCCATCATAGTGTGTTCCCCCTCACCTGTACGATACTGGGCAGGTCCATCAGTTCAGAGAGTCTCATGGTCCTCCGGTAACCCCAGGACTGTGTGTCTATCGACTGACACTTCTCCCACTTGTGTTTGGGCAGCTCCCCAGGGGTGTACTTGTCTGCACAGTTATAGTAGCCGCCGTGTTTACAGTAACACCCCGCCCCCCACCTGTCATTGGTCACAATCACGTCCTGGAGGGAGGGGGATAAAAATGACAGCCAATCAGAGACAAATGAGTGGACAGGAAATGATCACGTGCATGTTTACTGGTATCTTTTTCAGAGGAGGCAGATTCAGTCACTATAACACACATATTGCATGGCAGTTATTCATTCAAAGTCATCCATAGACTGGACACTGAAAATCTGTTGTCCTCAGTCCCCAACCCTGGTTCTGGATATCAGTACCCCATGCAAATTACAGGGTGTGGAGGTGTTTGTTGCAGCCTAGCACTAAAACACCTGATTCAACTAATCATCAAGGCCTTGATTAGCTGAATGAAGTGTGCTGGGTTGAAATGGAATGAAAACCTGCAACCACTACTGTAGCTCTCCAGGACCAGACTTGGTAAACACTGCCCTAAAAAGGGTTCCAAATGGCACCCTGTTCCCTTTACAGTGCACTACTTTTGACCAGAGCCCCTATAGTAGTGTACTATGTAGGGAATAGGGTGGCATTTGGGACGCACCCTAGTGGTCCTCTGTAGCTCAGCTGGTAGAGCACGGCGCTTGTAACGCCAGGGTAGTGGGTTCGATCCCCGGGACCACCCATACGTAAAAATGTATGCACACATGACTGTAAGTCGCTTTGGATAAAAGCGTCTGCTAAATGGCATAATATTATTATTATTATTATTATTATTATGATGGGTAGGAAGTCCTCACTTTAACGGGACTGTCGTTGTAAAGCCAGGCCAGGAATTCTGTTGAGTTCCAGTAGGCGTCGGGAGCTTCCCAATCCCCATCGGACCAGATCAGCTCTGGTTTGTACCTGGACCACAGGAGAGACCAGTGAGGGGAAAATGGGTGTAGGGGTGTGTGCGCATGTGTGTGTGTGTGTGTGTGTGTGTCCGAACAAAAGCTACACTACCGTTCAAAAGTTTAGGGTCACTTAGAAATGTCCTTGTTTTCGAAAGAAAAGCAATTTTTTTTTGTCCATTGAAATAACATCAAATTGATCAGAAATTCAGTGTAGACATCTTAATCTTTTCTTTTTATTGGCCAGTCTGAGATATGGCTTTTTCTTTGCAACTCTGCCTAGAAGGTCTCAAGGCCAAACTAGTCTCAAGAAGCCCAGTTTTATTGCTTCTTTAAAATCAGCACAACAGTTTTCAGCTGTGCTAACATAATTACAAAAGGGTTTTCTAATGATCAATTAGCCTTTTAAAGTGATCAACTTGGATTAGCAAACACAACGTGCCATTGGAACACAGGACTGATGGTTGCTGATAATGGGCCTCTGTACGCCCATGTAGATATTCCGTAAAAAATCAGCCGTTTCCAGCTACAATAGCCATTTACAACATTAACAATGTCTACACTGTATTTCCGATTTTTAATGGACAAAAATGTTTGCTTTTCCTTCAAAAACAAGGACATTTCTAAGTGACCCCAAACTTTTGAACGGTAGTGTATGTTTGTGGTAGTCTAAGCACTGCTGTAAGACCTTTAGCCCTGTTCTACATGTATCTGGTGGAGATAGAGGCACAGTGTAATATATTGTACGTCTATCTCAGCCATTGTAAAAAATAAAATAAAAAACCTGTTTTTAGTATTCACGGTAGACCTAGTCTGGCCTAAATTACCTTAGGACCATGTCATAAAGCTCGGGCAGCAGTTTATTCAAGACAAAGTCCTGTGTTGTGAAGTTGTTCTTTTTGTCCGCCAGGTAGAGGGGGTTGAACCATTCATACAGGGAGTTATAGAGTCCATAGTGCAGCGACCTGTGAACAGACAACAACAGGACAGCAGGTGATACTGGGAGGGATAGGGAACTGTCAAAAGACAGCATCTGATACTGGGAGGGATAGGGAACTGTCAAAAGACAGCATCTGATACTGGGAGGGATAGGGAACTGTCAAAAGACAGCATCTGATACTGGGAGGGATAGGGAACTGTCAAAAGACAGCATCTGATACTGGGAGGGATAGGGAACTGTCAAAAGACAGCATCTGATACTGGGAGGGATAGGGAACTGTCAAAGACAGCATCTGATACTGGGAGGGATAGGGAACTGTCAAAAGACAGCATCTGATACTGGGAGGGATAGGGAACTGTCAAAAGACAGCATCTGATACTGGGAGGGATAGGGAACTGTCAAAAGACAGCATCTGATACTGGGAGGGATAGGGAACTGTCAAAAGACAGCATCTGATACTGGGAGGGATAGGGAACTGTCAAAAGACAGCATCTGATACTGGGAGGGATAGGGAACTGTCAAAAGACAGCATCTGATACAGGGAGGGAACTGTCAAAAGACAGCATCTGATACTGGGAGGGATAGGGAACTGTCAAAAGACAGCAGGTGATACTGGGGGGGATAAGGAACTGTCAAAAGACAGCAGGTGATACTGGGAGGGATAAGGAACTGTTGAAAGTCAACATTGAGCCTAAAGGCATTGTTATGAGTTGTTCCTGGTCACGGTACTTCTGCATTGCTTGCTCTTTGGGGTTTCAGGCTGGGTATCTGTAAAGCACTTTATGACAACTGCTGATGTAAAAAGGGCTTTATAAAATACATGTGATTGAATACAGAACTACCTCTGCTGTCAGCTAAAAGCCTGGGCTTATTACAAACACCTATATAAATATATCTATGACAAATATAGAGGTCTTCCCATTCAACCCCTGCTCCAGTAGAATGCATTTAAGCATATTACAGCTTACTCTCCCCATATACATCACCCCGATAACAATTAGAGGACAGTACTATGCAAAACTGAACACAGATCAGTGTCTATGGACAGTTTCAACCCGTCTCTAGGTGCCTTACCTAAGTCAGATCTTACAACGCCTGGATAGGTATTTTACGTATTCGCTAACCACATCATTATGTTATAGCAGTCTGGTGCCTGGCGGCACAGTCAAGGACTTCGCATGCAACTATTGGTTGATGCAATGCAAAGTCTGAGCAGGGGGAACATGGCCCAATACATTAACCAATACAAATGTGGTGAGAAAATACAAATCTGTCTTCAGATCAGCGTCTTTGGATAACCCTTCATTCTCTGTTGTGTAGTTGGGTGCCTTACACCTAAGCTTAGGCCTACTCTACCCAATACCCATTGCGATAACCAATTAGGAGAGAACATGCAAAACTGTCCTCAGATCAGCATCTATTGATAACTTCAACCCTTCTCTCTCTGTTGTCAGACTGCTGCCTTGTTTAGCCTACCTGTTGCGTACAGCCTTTGCCAGGTCTCCCACCAGGTCTCTGTGTGGTCCAGTGTCCACTGAGTTCCAGTTCCAGGAGTGAGGAGACGGCCAGGTGGTGAATCCTTCATGGTGCTTCGCTGTTAAGACCACATACCTGGAGATACAGGGGACCGGTAAGGACCACATACCTGGAGATACAGGGGACCGTTAAGGACCACATACCTGGAGATACAGGGGACCGGTAGAGACCACATACCTGGAGATACAGGGGACCGGTAGAGACCACATACCTGGAGATACAGGGGACCGGTAGAGACTGGGAAAAGACCTGTAGCCTTTAAATTGTCGGCTATATGACTGTACTACACCCTCTGCCAGACCTTTCTGGCACAGCGGTAGTGCACTTTCCCCATGACAGTGTTGCTGGTTCAATACCCCACTACAGCTTGTAAATCACTACAGACTGTGTAGCCTGTGTGCAGAAAAACATAAACAGAACTATACAGGTATACAAACTGAATAAGACTTACTTTGCACCGGAAGCCTCGAATATGTCAGCCCAGTCATCTGCGTCAAAGAACTGGGCATGGAACTGGGGAGCGAAGTCAGGATAACTGAACCCGGGCGGGTAGTTCTCCTGCATGTACAGAACACACTTCGGGTCCGGTGGGTTTTGGCCTTGCCAATGCCACCAGAACCACTCGCTCTGGAACCCGGGAACTGAGAACACACCCCAGTGGACGAAAATCCCGAACTTGGCTTCGTCGTACCATTTAGGAAGCGGTCTTGCGTCCAAACTCTCCCAGTTCGCTTGGTATCGCGTCCCGCTTGCTGGTATCGCTATCAGCAAAGCGGCGAGCAGGAGAAATACCCACCTTGCCTGAGCAAACATTATTGTTTAAAAAAAAGGAGGTTTTACCAATGTGAAGGTTGCAATGTTAATAGAATAATCATTCGGAAGTAGTAGTTCTATGAGTTTATTACGTGCGAATCAGGACGGCGACGTCTTTCTGGTGCGTCTACAAGCGGTGATATCTAGAATCAAACTAAACCGCAACGTTTTATATCGGTTTATAGGCATAATCTACTGTAACCATTATGGGAAACAAATGTTTTACTGTTTCGTTATGTGCCATAAATGTAGATCATACTGGTCTAAACTATCACATGACTGTGGTCACATGACTTTAGTGTTCAAAACTATTCCGGGTAGAGCTGTGCGAAAAAATCAACGCGCGCCAATTGTTTAGAATGAAAACGGTCTGCGCTTTTTGGCCATAATGAGGTTCCCTGTAGTCGGATCTGGATTACCGATCGCGCACAGAGGCCAACTCCAGCTAGCCAGCAGCATATGATAGCGAAATGTGTAGAATTGCAGGAAAGTAGGTTAAAACTTCTCTCAGCCTCGTGGCAAAATGTGAACCAAAGCATGATGAGATGAGCTATAAAACAGCACTTTTTTTCCCTGCCCAAGAGCTGCCAACTCTCACGCATTGAAAAATACTACTTTTATTTTTCAGCGCGTTAACTCTTCAACTGTGCTTCAAGTCGTTTTGAAATCCGAGCATCTGCGCCTGCAATTTAACATCAAGAGCAGAACCTCAAATATTGTCCTGTCTTGTCACAGCACTGTGAACCGCGGCACATTGAAGCATATTATTGGTCTATTTATGTGAGGGATCAAGGGGATTGGATGCGTGTTTTAAAGAAACGCCCCTAAAGAGTAGAGCGGAACTGAATGGAGAGAGAGCGTTCTCTGCTGAGCTCTACAACTGGAAAAAGAGCTGCACGGTAGCGCAGTTTTATGTACAATGTTGTCAACAAAATGAGGTTGCTGATACTCCCATCCATGAATCTGTTGCAGAATGCAGACTTTTGACAGCATGTACTAAAGTCAGTCAATTTAATCCACACTTGCATTAGTCCCGTTGTTTTGGTGATTGGCATTTAGGCTCAGACAACGAAAAGGCATCAGGCAGATTTACAATATGTTGTAACTATGAAAATAATTTTGTCAGATTGTGAACCCAAAAGTGTACGTTTGATTCTAGAAATAAAACAATCTTTAAAAAATAATTTGGTTACGTGTAGGGGCAGATTTATGTAATGTTGTCATTCTGAGATTTGATCTATTTACTTTTAATCTCATCAGTGGAACAACTTATTTTATTCCAGTTCCCAATTTTGCCAGTGTAAAAACATATTTGAAATCTGATATGCCTACTTGTGTCTTTGAAAACGAATGATGTGAGGCTATGGATTTTTGCAGCCATTCGTGGACCGTTTTGAATAATTCATAAAAATAAGCATTGGATATTAAAATGCTCCAGGAATCAAATATAATTTGACATTTTAGTATTGTGCACATGCTAGGCAGAGATGGTAAAGGGACTCAACTCATAAAGGCATCATATCTTGTCTATGTACAGTAAGATGAAGGCAAGGATCTTCAACTAGTAGGCGTAAACCACATGAATATTGATATTTATTAGATTTTTCTTGAAGGTTTGTTGATTTAAAATGTTATTTTTATTTAAAAAAATGAATTTCTCAAACACCCATCACTTAGGACACATAGCTCAGGGGTGGCCAACCATTCTGGAAAGCAAGCAGGATTTTATTCCAGCCCTATTTTAAAAAGAGATCGTTCATCCAAATTACAAAATGTTTGTGTCCTTACCTTAAGCAGACTGAAATCTTTGATTTGGTTACCAACTGCCATCAACCACAGCATGATGCTGCCACCCCCGCGCTTCACGGTTGGGATGGTGTTCTTCGGCTTGCAAGCGACCCCCTTTTTCCTCCAAACATAACGATGGTCATTATGGCCAAACAGTTCTATTTTTGTTTCATCAGACCAGAGAACATTTCTCCAAAAAGTACGATCTTTGTCCCCATGTGCAGTTGCAAACCGTAGTCTGGCTTTTTTATGGCGGTTTTGGAGCAGTGGCTTCTTCCTTGCTGAGCGGCCTTTAAGCTATGTCGATATAAGACTCGTTTTACTGTGGATATAGATACTTTTGTACCTGTTTCCTCCAGCATCTTCACAAGGTCCTTTGCTGTTGTTCTGGGATTGATTTGCACTTTTCGCACCAAAGTACGTTCATCTCTAGGAGACAGAACGCGTCTCCTTCCTGAGCGGTATGACGGCTGCATGGTCCCATGATGTTTATACTTGCGTACTATTGTTTGTACAGATGAACGTGGTACCTTCAGGCATTTGGAAATTGCTCCCAAGGATGAACCAGACTTGTGGAGGTCTACAATTTTTTTTCTGAGGTCTTGGCTGATTTCTTTTGATTTTCCCATGATGTCAAGCAAAGAGGCACTGAGTTTGAAGGTAGGCCTTGAAATACTTCCACAGGTAACAAGACCAAAGAGATGTGCATAGACTTCAGGAAGCGTACAACACCTACCTCTGCAACATCTATCAGAGGCCAGAATATAGAAATTGTAGAGGAATATAAATATCTGGGTGTCTTTTTGGACAGTAAGCTTCAGTGGAGTAAATGTACAGACCAGATCTACAAAAAGAGCCAACAGAGACTGTACTTTCTAAAAAAGTTGGGTTCTTTTAATATAGACTGTACTATATTGACTCTGTTTTACAAATCCTTTATTGAGAGTATTTTAACTTTTTGTATTGTTTGTTGGTTTGGCAATGCCACTGTCAGTCAGAGAAACATGCTGAGAAGGATTATTACCACAGCAAGTAAGGTACTTGGAGTCAAACAGACAGGCCTGGATGAGATCTTTAAGGTCAGGGCCCTCCGTAAGGCTCACAAAATCATTTTAGACCCAAGTCACCCCCTGTACTTGGACTTTGAATTACTCCCCTCTGGGCGTAGGTATAGGGCACCCCTCAGCAGGAAAAATAGAACGAGACAATCATTTGTGCCAGGTGTGATATCCCTCTTAAATAGCTCGGGCAAATGTTCCCATTGACCCCGTAAGGCCAGCAGGCTAGTCTTTGTTTTAAATGTTTTAAATGTTTTATTTCTTATTTCCTACTTTTATTGGTGCGTGACTGTTATTGAAAGTTGTATTGTCAATCTTGTTTTGTATTTAACGCCACTTTAAATGTGTACATGACACTGCAACAAAATTTCCCCATGGGGACAATAAAGTATAAAGTAAAGTAAAGTAAAGTAGGTACACCTCCAATTGACTCAAATGATGTCAATTAGCCTATGACATATTTTTCTGGAATTTTCCAAGCTGTTTAAAGGCACAGTCAACTTAGTGTATGTAAACTTCTGACCCACTGGAATTGTGATAGTGAATTATAAGTGAAATTATCTGTCTGTAAACAATTGTTAGAAAAATGACTTGTGTCATGCACAAAGTAGATGTCCTAACTGACTTGCCAAAACTATAGTTTGTTAACAAGAAATGTGTGGAGTGGTTGAAAAAACGAGTTTTAATGACTCCAACCTAAGTGTATGTAAACTTCCGACTTCAACTGTATCTTGTCATGTCCAGAGTTAGGTAAATCTTGTCGCTCGTAGTGTTCACAGGTCTAACACTTCCTTATACTCAGGCAGACCTTCCCCCCGGAAATTACCTTTTCATTCTACAAGGGGCAACAAACTCACTACACAGCAACTCCATAAGTTCACTACACAAACACATTGAACAGTTCAACAAGGTCACTACACAACACCTCAAATCACCAGGACATTACTTTTTATTTCAAAACAGGTGCTTTACTTCAAAGGAACAGCTGCACTATCAAGCTACATAAGGACTCACTGGATAGCATGAGAACATCCGGACATGATGTCCTTAAAAGGACAAACACAGGACACATAAATAGCCCATCAATCACTTTGACACATACAGTCTACCATATTTTCTCTAGGGCGTTCCCTTTCAGTCCTTATATAGTGCTACCTGAAGTCATATAAGCATGATTTACATTATTCATTATTAACGTTGGTTCCTGCATGTGACTGACTGATACCTCACGAGGCTTCTCTCAAAGCTGGGACCTTGAAACTGAGATGCTCCTTTCGGTTCCCAGAGCCAATTGGTCTGAGGAGGAGGTCACAGTCACCTGCACGAACCAAGATAGCCTTGAATTGTACACCGCATCTCCTCTCACGCCATCTCTTCAGACAACACAATTTTCCCTCACTTTATAAAGAGGCCATTGTTGATAGCGGCTCTGCAGTGTCTCGATATCTATTGCACATTCAGGCAGCTAGGCTTCAGCTGCCTCACACGTCAACTAGTATCAATGTCCTAAAAAATAACATTTCAACCGCTGATATTAAAACTAAACATTTACAGTCATAATCGCTTGACGTATAATAACAAAACAGTTTTACGTTCACTGCCTCCTCACGCTACTCCCTCTAGTTTCAGGACCCAGCCTCGGCCCGGGGAAACTGCCTCCTCACTCTACTCCCTCTAGTTTCAGGACCCAGCCTCGGCCCGGGGAAACTGGCATGTTGTCAGGCATGACTACCACCAGTCCGGTTGGTGTCGTCGATACCCACTTCAGAGATACGGACGGGTTGTCCAGTATAGCGACCTGAGAAGAGAGACGGTAATATTCAGTTAGCATAAAAAAAAAAAAAGGTGCTGTCCGTGACAACTGTGTACCTTATTGGACAGAATCCACATGATATCTTCAATAAGAATTAACAGACACACACTGCTAAGAACCATAGTATTACGTCTGCTAAGAACCATAGTATTACGTCTGCTAAGAACCATAGTAATACGTCTGCTATACTTACATTAGTGGCCTCAGAGGTTTTGGGTGCTGCGAGGCTGAACAGCAGTTTGGAAGGCCATGCCAGCAGTATGGCATAGACTGTGTTGTTCTTAGAGGTGTACCTATGGAAGGATATATATATATATACACACACACACACAGTCATGACTTGTTTAAGACTTAGGATGAGAGTTTCACTAGATGGCAGTAAAGCCCCGTCTGTAGTAATGCCTGTCCACTAGATGGCAGTAAAGCCCCGTCTGTAGTAATGCCTGTCCACTAGATGGCAGTAAAGCCCCGTCTGTAGTAATTCCTGTCCACGTTTGATAAATGATTCCACATTTCAGTTTAGAAATCAATGTAATAATTCCCAGGTCATTTTCCATCCATAATCCCAATATAGGCTGCTTTAGGTGAACTATTTCTACAGCCTTCTCACCAGACAGACAAAGATTATGATCATCTGAAACGCTATCATGCCTCAGGACATTACTGCCATTCAGTCTGGTCCCATAAACCCCTCATCATTACCAGTCTGGTCCCATCAACCCTATCAGTCTCTGTATCAATAAAGACTATTGTATTGTATTGTCTCCTACCAGACTGTATTGTATTGTATAGCCTCCTACCAGACTGTATTGTATTGTCTCCTACCAGACTGTATTGTATTGTATTGTCTCCTACCAGACTGTATTGTATTGTATTGTCTCCTACCAGACTGTATTGTATTGTATTGCCTCCTACCAGACTGTATTGTATTGTATTGTATAGCCTCCTACCAGACAGGTACGGTGGCGTTCTCGGTCTGGATCCTCCAGGGTTTGGAGGAGTAGATGGCCTCTCCGTTGACCCCCAGCCAGGCCCCCATGCCCCTCAGCCTCTCCTCAAAGAGAGGGGAGATCATGCCGTCCTCCATGGGGCCGATGTTCAGCAGGTAGTTACCCCCCAGGGCCACCACATACACCATGTCCTGATGAAACAAGATACCACATACACCATGTCCTGATGAAACAAGATACAGGGGACCATACACCATGTCCTGATGAAACAAGATACAGGGGACCATACACCATGTCCTGATGAAACAAGATACAGGGGACCATACACCATGTCCTGATGAAACAAAAGCACTGTGATGCTTACTGAAACAGGCAGTAGCTACCCCCACCCCCCCCCCCCCCCCCCCCCCCCCCCCCCCCCCCCACACACTACCAAGACATGATACAGAGGAGAGCTGTCAATAAACAGATTTTACCAAGTTAGTGAAAACTCTGTTTATGAAATAAAAACACAGCCACATTCATCACGTTAGTGAAAACTCTTTATGAAATGAAGATGGATACCTGCACACTGATGAATGGGGGTATCTATCTTTATTTCAAGAGTTTATTTTACCCAGCACCTGCAAGTTATTGGATGTGTACACTGAGTCTGAAACTAGTACCAACTCAGTTTACACAAGCAGTAGCTAACCACACACACACCATGTCCTTCAAAACAGCTGGGAACTCGGAAATCTCAGACTTCCGACCTCAGTGCGTTCAATACAACGAGCTCCAACTGGGGAAAAATCGTTTGAACGTTCATCCAACTCGGATTTCCAACTAGGGCCTCTTTCTAGAGCTCCGGCCTGAAGATCACTGACGTCATGATTTGACCTCGTATTTTTCAGAGTTCCCAGTTGTTTTGAACGCGGCATCGCCCCAGCTGTGTTCGTCCCACAGTATGACTTCACTTCCTGTGACCCCTGACCTCTATGATGGTGGGCAGGTCCATCAGCTCGATGATCTTCATGTTTCTACGGTAACCCCAGGAGCGGTTGTCGATGGACTGGCATTTCTCCCACTTGTGGCCGGGCAGAGAGCCTGGAGTGAACCTGAAAGAGAAAACGTCCCACTGTTTCAGGTATGGCGCTAAACAGGAAACATGGCTGCAAGTCTGATATCCTACCAAATGTATGTAGATCCTACATAAGTCTAGGTAAATTCAACATAAACCAAACTCCACCCAATCAGAGGACTAGGTGGAGCTATAGCCACACTGTACAGTATATAAAGTACCAAGCATGTAGTAACAAAAAATAAATAGTGTTAAACAAATCAAAATATATTTGAGATTTGAGATTCTTCAAAGTAACCACCCTTTGCCTTGACAGCTTTGCACACTCTTGGCATGCTCTCAACTAGCTTCATGAGGTAGTCACCTGGAATGCATTTCAATTAATTATACCACCCCTAATTTGTGGAATTTCTTTCCTTAATGCGTTTGAGCCAATCAGTTGTGACGTGACAAGGTAGGGGTGGTATACAGAAGATAGTCCTATTTGGTAAAAGACCAAGTCCATATTATTGCAAGAACAGCTCAAATAAGTAAAGAGAAACAACAGTCCATCATTACTTTAAGACAAGAAGGTCAGTCAATCTGGAAAATCTCAAGAACTTTGAAAGTTTCTTCAAGTGCAGTCGCAAAAACCATCAAGCGCTATGATGAAACTGGCTCTCATGAGGACCGCCACAGGAAAGGAAGACCCAGAGTTACCTCTGCTGCAGAGGATAAGTTCATTAGAGATACCAGCCTCAGAAATTGCAGCCCAAATAAATGCTTCACAGAGTTCAAGTCACAGACACATCTCAACATCAACTGTTCAGAGGAGACTGCGTGAATCAGGCCTTCATGGTCAAATTGCTGCAAAGAAACCACTACTAAAAGACACCAATAATAAGAAGAGACTTGCTTGGGCCAAGAAACACGAGCAATGGACATTAGACCGGTGGAAATGTGTCCTTTGGTCTGGAGTCCAAATTGGAGATTTTTGGTTCCAACCGCCGTGTCTTTGTGAGATGCGGGGTGGATGAATGGATGATCTCTGCATGTGTAGTTCCCACCGTAAAGCATGGAGGAGGAGGTGTTATGGTGTGGGGCTGCTTTGCTGTTGACACTCTCTGTGATTTATTTAGAATTCAAGGCACACTTAACCAGCATGGCTACCACAGCATTCTGCAGCGATACGCCATCCCATCTGGTTTGGGCTTAGTGGGACTATCATTTGTTTTTTTAACAGGTCAATGACCCAACACACCTCCATGCTGTGTAAGGGCTATTTTACCAAGAAGGAGAGTGATGGAGTGCTGCATCAGATGACCTGGCCTCCACAATCCCCCGACCTCAACCCAATTGAGATGGTTTGGGATGAGTCGGACCGCAGAGTGAAGGAAAAGCAGCCAACAAGTGCTCAGCATATGTGGGAACTCCTTCAAGATTGTTGGAAAAGCATTCCAGGTGAAGCTGGTAGAGAGAATGCCAAGAATGTGCAAAGCTGCCAAGGCAAGGGGTGGCTATTTGAAGAATCTCAAATATAAAATATATTTTGATTTGTTTAACACTTTTTTGGTTACTACATGATTCCATATGTGTTATTTCATAGTTTTGATGTCTTCACTATTATTCTACAATGTAGAAAATAGTAAAAATAAAGAAAAACCCTTTTGACCAGTGGTAGTGAGTGAAATATATATATAATTATTTTTTTGTGCTAAACAGGCTCTGCCCTGAATTACGAGTCACCACTGCCACAAAGTCACAGTCCCGAAAAAAATCCTTGAATGAGTAGGTGTGTCCAGACTTTGGACTGGTACTGTACACCAGGGTGATTGTCTTATCTGCCTTAGTATGAATGGACTGACTGTAATACCAAGGGGCTCTGGATAACAACATCTGCTAAATGACCAACATGTAATAGAAGTGCCTGGGGGCTATGAGCGGAGGTTCAGTGTATACCTGTCTTCACAGTTATAGTAGCCACCATGTTTGCAGTAACAACCATTCCCCCATCTGTCATTGACCACCACAAAGTCCTGGGGAATTAGAATGAAAACAATGGTCAGTGTTGTTCTGGGTTAACAAGGAGCTGTAGTCTAGTTTCTATTTACAAGACAACCTCTGGGTTAACAAGGAGCTGAAGTCTAGTTTCTATTTACAAGACAACCTTTGTCTTAACCGGTTCAGACAAAAAGAAAAAACAAGAACCAAAAAAGGTGAGAGTTCTCTCGTATCTAGTTGTGACATGAGTCACCTGATCTAAAATGTGACCAGGTGCATCTTGTGAGACTGATACTGTGTGTGTGTATATATATATATAGGCAGGAAATCCGTCGCAGTGACGGAGAACTTTAACCCCTGTATATATGACAAACTCCACCCCCACAATAACAATACGCACAATTAGTTCAGGTGACACTTGTCACATGACATGATACCTTGACAACTGGTAAAAGTTAATGTCAATCATTTGTCATATCCTTATTGGTCCTGGTCTAAAGTAGTGCACTACAGAAGGGGAATAGGGTATCATTTGGGACACTCTCGCTCACCTTGATAGGACTGTCGTTGTAGAGCCAGGCCAAGAATTCTGTTGAGTTCCAGTAGGTGTCCGGAGCTTCCCAATCCCCATCGGACCAGATCAGCTCCGGCTCATAGGTCATCACCAGGTTAACCAGCTCAGGAAGAGCCTTCCGGAAGACAAAGTCCTGGGTCTTGAACCCGGAAGCTTTGTCCTTCAGGTACAGTGGATGGAACCACTCATACAGGGAGTGGTACAGGCCAAAGTGCAGTCCCTTCCTGTTGAAACAGAATATATGTATGTCAGTGGAGGCTGCGAATGGAATCAAACATATGGAAACCATGCGTTTGATGTATTTGATACCATTCCACTCCAGCCATTACAACGAGCCCATCCTCCCCAGTTAAGGTGTATTTGATACCATTCCACTCCAGCCATTACAACGAGCCCATCCTCCCCAGTTAAGGTGTATTTGATACCATTCCACTCCAGCCATTACAACGAGCCCATCCTCCCCAGTTAAGGTGTATTTGATACCATTCCACTCCAGCCATTACAACGAGCCCATCCTCCCCAGTTAAGGTGTATTTGATACCATTCCACTCCAGCCATTACAACGAGCCCATCCTCCCCAGTTAAGGTGTATTTGATACCATTCCACTCCAGCCATTACAACGAGCCCACCCTCCCCCAGTTAAGGTGTATTTGATACCATTCCACTCCAGCCATTACAACGAGCCCATCCTCCCCAGTTAAGGTGTATTTGATACCATTCCACTCCAGCCATTACAACGAGCCCATCCTCCCCAGTTAAGGTGTATTTGATACCATTCCACTCCAGCCATTACAACGAGCCCACCCTCCCCAGTTAAGGTGTATTTGATACCATTCCACTCCAGCCATTACAACGAGCCCATCCTCCCCAGTTAAGGTGTATTTGATACCATTCCACTCCAGCCATTACAACGAGCCCATCCTCCCCAGTTAAGGTGTATTTGATACCATTCCACTCCAGCCATTACAACGAGCCCATCCTCCCCAGTTAAGGTGTATTTGATACCATTCCACTCCAGCCATTACAACGAGCCCACCCTCCCCAGTTAAGGTGTATTTGATACCATTCCACTCCAGCCATTACAACGAGCCCACCCTCCCCAGTTAAGGTGTATTTGATACCATTCCACTCCAGCCATTACAACGAGCCCATCCTCCCCAGTTAAGGTGTATTTGATACCATTCCACTCCAGCCATTACAACGAGCCCACCCTCCCCAGTTAAGGTGTATTTGATACCATTCCACTCCAGCCATTACAACGAGCCCATCCTCCCCAGTTAAGGTGTATTTGATACCATTCCACTCCAGCCATTACAACGAGCCCATCCTCCCCAGTTAAGGTGTCTCCAACCTCCTGTGACGTATGTGAACTGTTATGACCTGAGATTCAATCCACCAACCAGGGCCCGTATTCACAAAGAGTCTCAGAGTAGGAGTGCTGTTCTAGGATCAGGTCTCCCCCCCCTCCCCTGTGCTGTTCTAGGATCAGGTCACCCCCCCCCCTGTGCTGTTCTAGGATCAGGTCACCCCCCCCCCTGCGCTGTTCTAGGATCAGGTCACCCCCCCCCCCCCCCCCCCCCCCACCCGTGCTGTTCTAGGATCAGGTCACCCCCCCCCCCTTTAAGTCAACACTGATCCTAGAACCTAGATAGTCTGAGAAGCTTAGAGAACACAGGCCTTGGTTTCCAAACCAGTTTCCTGATCCAGGGGAACACAGTCATGTATTGGTGGTGAAAGAGCCGCTTGGAAATGTGAAATGCATATTTCTAAAAGCCTGCATCCACACCGGCCCTCTTTGGAATGATAAGTTTTGCCACTCCTGTCTGACCTACCGGCGCCGGGGTGAAGTTTCCCTTAAGGTACAGATCTAGGATCACCCAATCCTAACCTTAACCATTAGTGGGGGAAATGATAAACTGAAGCAAGATCAGTGTTTGGGGCAACTTCACCCGTGTCCTACCTCTTGCGTATGGCTGCTGCCAGGTCTCCCACCAGGTCTCTGTGTGGTCCAGTATCCACTGAGTTCCAGTTCCAGGAGTCTGCAGACGGCCAGTTACAGAAGCCCTCGTGATGCTTGGCTGTGAACACCACGTACCTGGCAATGACATTAACATACACAGAAATGAAGGCACTGTGCATGCGCGCACACACACACACACACACACAAATGAATGCACACGCACTCACACTTAAACCCCCCCACTGACGATCAACTGTTGTGGACATAAACCTGGCTATCACTAAAGCCCATTTAAACTTTTCACTACAATTTATAATAATAGCCTACAGCTTCAGTGCATGATATTTTCCTATGGTAAAACATGGTTGTCACTAGTAACAACAGCCACAATGTAAAAAAATTGGTTATATGGTAAAAATGCAAGATTTTTTTTTTTGCTTTTTGAGTCTTCAATTAAGGTTAGGGTCAGGCATAAAGTTAGCAGTGTGGTTAAGGTTGTTTAAACTCTGATTTTTAAAAGATAAATTGTAGAAATAGGGAGAAGGGTGTAAATTGAGGCCTGCAATTCAGGGCGTTTCCTGCATGTGGACATTCCTGCATCTGCAGGAACCTCTCTTTATACTTCTATTGGACTCCGGTACACAGGTGGGAGGAGGAGGGGGAGGGGGAGGGGGAGGGGAGTGGGAGGGGGAGGGGGAGCTCCAGTACAGTAGGTGGCGGTAATGCACCATAATGTTGGATGCCAACCACCGATAAACCACACAGAAGAAGGAGAGGCTGGGTGACACCCGTAGCTAGCTAGTATTCTTCTCCCCCACCTGTCGGGCACTATTAACTATGGTGAGGGCAGGTGTTCGGCAGGCGGGAGCGAAAAATGACGATATATGAAGGGAGCAAAGGACACTGTGTGCTAGCTAGCTAGCTAGGACTCCGCTACACAGCAGGCAGGGGCGACACCGGTAGCTAGCTAGCTAGGACTCCGCTACACAGCAGGCAGGGGCGACACCGGTAGCTAGCTAGCTAGGACTCCGCTACACAGCAGGCAGGGGCGACACCGGTAGCTAGCTAGCTAGGACTCCGCTACACAGCAGGCAGGGGCGACACCGGTAGCTAGCTAGCTAGGACTCCGCTACACAGCAGGCAGGGGCGACACCGGTAGCTAGCTAGCTAGGACTCCGCTACACAGCAGGCAGGGGCGACACCGGTAGCTAGCTAGCTAGGACTCCGCTACACAGCAGGCAGGGGCGACACCGGTAGCTAGCTAGCTAGGACTCCGCTACACAGCAGGCAGGGGCGACACCGGTAGCTAGCTAGCTAGGACTCCGCTACACAGCAGGCAGGGGCGACACCGGTAGCTAAATAGCTAGGACTCCGGTACACAGCAGGCAGGGGCGACACCGGTAGCTAGCTAGCTAGGACGCCGGTACACAGCAGGCAGGGGCGACACCGGTAGCTAGCTAGCTAGGACTCCGGTAGACAGTGGCGTTCTCGTTTGGGCAAAAGTCTGTCCTCTCTCCTCCGAGACCCGGAAACCGATAAGCGGTCGAGGAGTGTGTTAGTTAGTAGGCAAACCTCCGTTTGGCGAGGAAGCACAAGTGTATCGTAAGAGTTTTGAAATCTGCCACGCTTCTTTTGAATCAGCTGTTTTCTCGAAGGGAAAAAAAAAAGCAACCTAAGGATGTGACAAATGGACAATTTTCTGTTAAAAACGCTAAGAGAAAAATATAAAATGTCACAATACAAAAATAATGGTCCTATTGCATATGTATGACCGTTAGGGTCGGGCGATGAAGTTACATCTACCGCCTCGGCTACGGCATGTTTGTTTGTCTCAAAGGGTACACTACAGCTTTTTAAATGCCGACACGAAACTTTCCCTGGAGATAGTTTAGACGAGCCACTGAACGGGCATTCTATAAAGGAATGCCGCTTCTGAAGCGGGACTAACGTCCATCACTAGGCGACCAGAACTGTCAATCAAATCATCTCGAGCTGCCTGCCTGCTGCCTGCTCAGCACACTCTCTCTCCTAAAAAAGCCCTTTTAAAAAGTTTGTTAAACACAGTGACATTTAGTAGAAATAAAATATCTTCCGCTAGGAATCGAATCCTAAGATTCTGTATTTTTGGAATGGAGGAGACTGTGTTCTCGGAAGTACGGAAACTAATCAAACACTCACATCTTTCATAGCTAGCTAGCCAGGGACGGAGAGAGACGGGAGGGGCACAGTATAGGCAGGTCGGCCACCAGGCAGCCGGTGTTAGAACCGTGCACTAGGCCCCTCCATCAGCAATCAAAAGCTGCATCTCACAAAGGAATGCTGTATTTTGCAAATTCATTGTCTCGCAACTTCAGCAAAGCAGAGCCCATCATAGATTTTTCTTTACCTCAAGGATCCCAATTTCCTTTAAGCGTGTTAATGTTTAAACGTTCACACCCCAAATGCAAACATTTTAAAACGATACAATAAAACCTTTTATCTATAAAATGTTTTGCACAACGAGTCTCATTTCATACAATGACATTTCCGTCCACTTTCCCTCTCCTCGCCGCCTCTCCTGAATTACCTTTGACCTTTTCCAAAAGGAGGCCAGAGAGGATGGAGGAGAGAGGATGCAGGAGTTGCGTAAATCTATTTGAGAAAAGGCCAGTGTCCTTCGCCCCTGAAAAACTGATAACACTTTTATTTCCCTTGACCCACATTTTAAAATTGCAGTGAACTCGTCTAAATCCCTACCACCCCGTAGTACTCACATCTGTAGCCATTAAAATGTTTTGAAAGGCTGGTCATGGCTCACATCAACACCATCATCCCAGATGCAATCTATATTGCACTTCACATTGCCCTTTCCCACTTGGACAAAAGGAACACCAAACATGAGAATGCTGTTCATTGACTACAGCTCAGCGTTCAAACACCATAGTGCCCTCCAAGCTCATCACTAAGCTAAGGACCCTGGGACTGAACACCTCCCTCTGCAACTGGACCCTGGACTTCCTGACAGGCCTCTCCCATGTGGTGAGGGTAGGCAACAACACGTCCACCACATTCAGGACTGTGACTTTGTGGCAGTGGAGACCCGTCATTCAGGGCATTCACTTATTGAATAATCTCAAATATAAAATATATTTTGATTTGTTTAACATTTTTTTGGTTACTACATGATTCCATGTGTTATGTCATAGTTTTGATGTCTTCACTAGTATTCTACAATGTAGAAAATGTTTTTTAAAAAATAAAGAAACCCTTGAATGTGCCGCTCCTCCGCACACTCCACTGGCTTCCAGTTGAAACTCGCGTCTGTTACAAGACCATGGTGCTTGCCTATGGAGCTGTGAGGGGAACGGCACCTCTGTACCTTCAGGCTCTGATCAGTCCCTACATCCAAACGAGGGCATTGCGTTCATCCACCTCTGGCCTGCTGGCTCCCCTTCCTCTGCGGAAGCATAGTTCCCGCTCAGCCCAGTCAAAACTGTTCGCTGCTCTGGCACCCCAATGGTGGAACAAGCTCCCTCACGACGCCAGGACAGCGGAGTCACTCACCACCTTCCGGAGACATTTGAAACCCCACCTCTTTAAGGAATACCTGGATAGGATCAAGTAATCCTTCTACCCCCCCCCAAAAAAAAATAATTAAAAAAATTGTAAAGTGGTTATCCCACTGGCTATAGGGTGAATGCACCAATTTGTAAGTCGCTCTGGATAAGAGCGTCTGCTAAATGACGTAAATGTAGGTGTTCTAAAACTTTTGACTGTAACTGACATTTTCACTTAGGGGTGTACTCACTTTTGTTGCCAGCGGTTTAGACATTAATGGCTGTGTGTTGTGTTATTTTGAGGGGACAGCAAATGTACACTGTTATACAAGCTGTACACTCACTACTTTACATTGTAGCAAAGTGTCATTTCTTCAGTGTTGTCACATGAAAATATATACTTAAATATTTACAAAAATGTGAGGGGTGTACTCATTTTTGTGACATACTGTAGTACAGTGGCGGCAGGTAGCTTAGTGGTTAAGAGCGTTGTGCCAGTAACCGAAAGGTCGCTGGTTCTAATCCCCGAGCCGACTAGGTGAAAAATCTGTCGATGTGCCCTTGAGCAAGGCACTTAACCCTAATTGCTCCTGTAAGTCGCTCTGGATAAGAGCGTCTGCTAAATGACAAAAAAAAAAAATGTGTAGTAAGCCGTTAGTAGCCCATGTGCCTCACCCTAATAATTTGGTCCCTTTTCCCCTCATAATTTAGCCCACTGTTCTGACTTGATGGTGCACATGTAGCCTATAGCCTGTTTTAGAGAAAGTCATCATCAAATATTGTAAGAGCTTTCATTGTCTGCTTATATGCCCCTTTATTCATCCTACGGTTCTGACTTGGTGTACCGGGAGAACACTGTAAGAACGGCCCATGTTCTGAATTCTGTCGCCGTACTTTTAAAGTGCTTAACAAATAGTTATATTGACTAACTTTATGTCCGTCCTCGCTCGTCCATTAATGTCTTAATAAAATTACGGATTGCCTCTTATCCGCTCGTCGTCGTCCCCTTAAGCCATAGTTTGTGCATCTCAGTTGTCAATAGAAACCACATTTGTTTATGCAAGTCAGCCATATCAGCCATGTTTTTAAGGCAGTAAATGAGGCTGAATGAACTGACAAGGCTCCGCTGGTGGAACAGTGGAAAGGTGTTGGGAGAGCGTTATGTTGGCCCTAACAGTTTGTGGGCACCGTTTGTCACCGTTATAGTCCAATTAATGTAGTGTTTAGTGTTGTGGCTTTGCTGGCATGAATATATATATATATATATGGTTTTGAGTTTGCGCCACCAAGATTTACATGCCAAAATCGCCAGTGAATACATTGCGCTCGTGTGCTCTGTGTTGAGTAGCCTAAATTAATGAATTAGAAGCAATTATCTAACAAATAAACAGTTTGAAACTTACTTGGCTCCAGAAGCTTCAAAAATATCAGCCCACTCATCAGGGTCGAAGAACTGCGCTTTGAAATCGTGCGCGAAATCTGCGTATTTAAAATCCGGGGGGTAGTTTTTCTTCATAAACCCAACCTCGGCCGCTCTCTGTGCGCCTTTCCACCAATACCAGAACCACTCGCTGAACTGGCCGTACCCGGGAACGGAGAATACCCCCCAGTGAACGAAAATCCCGATCTTCGCCTCGTCGTACCACACTGGTAGTGGCCGGGAATCGATACTTGTCCAATTGGCCGCGTATCGCGCTCCATTTCCCGGCGAGATTGCAACCACTGCGAATACTAGCAAACTCCTCAAAATCAAGGTCGTTGTCGCCATTTTCTGTTCTTTAAGAAATAACTAAAAGTTGATGAAGTAAGGCAGGCGATGGCATATCCCTTACATCTGCTTTGTAATGATGCCCTGTTGCAGGGGTCCTTAAGTACTATTTGAGAAGGTCCGGATGGATATTGCCATTTATTGGCGTAGTCACAAATCCACACCTCGTGATTCCAAACGGTTCACTCCCTGTTGTTGGCGTAGAGGAAATTGTCTAGTTTTAATTTAAAGACTAGTGCCACGTTCAGGTACTAGTCGGAACTAGGAAACTCGGATAATTCCGACTTGCTAACTGGTTGTATTTAAAAACACGTTCAACGAATCAGCAAATCGGAAATTTCCGAGTTTCCTAGTTCCGACTAGCATATGAACGCGGCATAGTAGTCTGCCAGCAGCACAAACAAAGACAATCACTTTGTATGGAAATGAGGAACATATAACTAGTTGGGTAAGTAGTGATGACTACCTACAATTCAGTCATTGTAAAATTCACATAAACAGGTGTGTGTTAGCCTATAGGTACATTCGGCCTATAGGGAAGATAATACATTTTTCAGTATTCTTGCAGAACCTGCTTAGCCGGTGTTTTCAGTTCCTGCTTTTCCTGAACCGCCGAAACATCGCAACAAGTCAGGTGACTAAATCCCTCTACACAAAATACTTTAAAACATTACGATTCCCCTAGCAGCAGGATATTATCAGGCAGCACGATCGCGGAATTTTCCTTTGTTCCAAATAAGACTACCCTTGCACTAGTACAACTGTTTTTCACAGCATTGCAAACACCTTTGAAAAAATAACTGGATAATTTTATATTGTATTATTTCTATCAGCATTTATTTTTGAAAGTTTACACAAATATTGGTATGTTGAAAGCTATTGTGTAGGTTATATTTAAAGAAACTCACTTTTAATAAAATACAAATATGCAGTACCAGTCAAAAGTTTAGACACACCTACTCATTCAAATGTTTTTCTGTATTTTATTAGGTATACAGAAGATGGCCCTATTTGGTAAAAGACCAAGTCCATATTATGGCAAAAACAGCTGAAATAAGCGAAGAGAAATTACAGTCCATCATTACTTTAAGACATGAGTACAGCTGTATCCTTACTCCACTCAGTGTAATGCAATACACAGTATATGGGATATACTGTACATTGGCTTGTAGAGAGAACTTTTCTACCCGTCTCAGCTAAAGTGGGGTGGGAAATACTCAGTGGGGTCTCTACAAACCAAATAGTTTTGCATGTCTTTGCAGGGGGACTCTTATTATGTAGTGATCTGTGATTGTGCTGCCAGCTTAATATCCTGCTGGACTCTTATTATTATGTAGTGATCTGTGATTGTGCTGCCAGCTTAATATCCTGCTGGACTCTTATTATTATGTAGTGATCTGTGATTGTGCTGCCAGTTTAATATCCTGCTGGACTCTTATTATTATTTAGTAATCTGTGATTGTGCTGCCAGCATAATACCCTGCTGCTGAATGGGTTCCTTTTAAAGTATTTTGTGTAAAGATAGAGGTAGTCAAATCAAATGTTATTTGCCACATGCGCCGAATACAACAGGTGTAGACCTTACAGTGAAATGCTTACTGACAAGCCCTTAACCAACAATGCAGTTTTAAGAAGAAAAAAAAAAGTTAAGTAAAAAAATAGATATGTAAAAAATAAAAAATAATTAAAGAGCAGCAGTCAAATAAATTAACAGTAGGGAGGCTATATACAGGGGGGTACCAGTACAGAGTCAATGTGAGGGGGCACCGGTTAGTCGAGGTAATTTACGTAATATGTACATGTGGGTAGAGTTATTAAAGTGACTATGCATAGATAATAAACAGAGTAGCAGCAGCTTAAAAGAGGGGGTGGGGTGGGGGGGGACAATGCAAAGAGTCACCTGACTTGTTGCAGAGCGGCAGTGGTTCAGGACTATCAGGAACTGAAAACACCAGCTAAGCAGGTTCTGCAAGAATACTGTCAGGCTAGCTTCTATGCAACCAAGACAGTTCCTGAAAGTATAAGTTCTATAACTATACCGTGTGTGTGTGTGTGATCAGAATCTCACTGTATTGTACACTGTTTCAATGTCTCACTGTAAAAAAAACATTAAAAGATGTTCAGCCAAGATGTCCCAAAATGATGAGCTCCTAATATCTAGTATTATATATATATATATATATATATATATATATATATATATATATATATATATATATATATATATATATTTATATATCATATTTCAAATGCTTTAGAGGAAAACTACATTTGAGAAAAACGAGTGAGTGAAAGGAAGAAGGACTAAGAATCTAACATCAGAAATACAACTTTTATCCTGATAAGGCAACTGGATAGCTAACAAGCTAACAGTTGTTTACACGTTGCTAGGGAGTTGCTAAGACAGTTTCTAGCTGTTGGCTACCTGCTGTTAGCTTAAAAAAAAAACCTAGCTAAACAAATAACAAAAAGGACAATCATAAAAAGGACAAAGGGACAGGAAAACTATTTCCTAAATTTACACAAGCAAGAGAAAACAATTCAGACAGAAGACAAGGTAGGCTTTGATTACATTCAAAAACACAGCTATAGCTAGCCAAGTGCAAACCAGCTGTAACATCTGCTGTATCCAGCTGTAACATCTACTGTATCCAGCTGTAACATCTACTGTATCCAGCTGTAATCAACTAAGATGGATATATTTACAAGCCCCAAGCTCAGCAACCTTGCAATCCAATATGCAAAAGGATTGCCAGTGAAGCAGGGAGGAAAACATAAAGCAAAGCTTTTAAAAGAGCAGAGACTTTATGCAACAAAAAGACATCAAGGTGGATATCCTCTTTTTCACCGAACGTCCAAAATGCGTCGCATGCAGCCCTGCGCAAGGCAAACAAACATCTTAAAACGTCTGGAAACAAGACCATGAGACAATTTTATGTGGAAACAACCCTAAAATGTCATATGAATATACAGTTGAAGTCGGAAGTTTACATACACCTTAGCCAAATACATTTAAACTCAGTTTTTCACAATTCCTGACATTTAATCCAAGTAACATTTCCCTGTCTCAGGTCAGTTAGGATCACCACTTTATTTTAAGAATGTAAAATGTCAGAATAATAGTAGAGAGAATGATTTCAGCTTTTATTTCTTTCATCACATTCCCAGTGGGTCAGAAGTTTACATACACTCAATTAGTATTTGGTAGCATTGCCTTTAAATTGTTTAACTTGGGTCAAACGTTTTGGGTAGCCTTCCACAAGATTCCCACAATAAGTTGGGTGAATTTTGGCCCATTCCTCCTGACAGAGCTGGTGTAACTGAGTAAGGTTTGTAGGCCTCCTTGCTCGCACACGCTTTTTCAGTTCTGCCCACAAATTGTCTATAGGATTGAGGTCAGGGCTTTGTGATGGCCACTCCAATACCTTGACTTTGTTGTCCTTAAGCCATTTTGCCACAACTTTGGAAGTATGCTTGGGGTCATTGTCCATTTGGAAGACCCATTTGCGACCAAGCTTTAACTTCCTGACTAATGTCTTGAGATGTTGCTTCAATATATCCACATAATTTTCCTTCCTCATGATGCCATCTATTTTGTGAAGTGCACCAGTCCCTCCTGCAGCAAAGCACCCCCACAGCATGATGCTGCCACCCCCGTGCTTCATGTTTGAGATGGTGTTCTTCGGCTTGCAAGTACCCCCTTTTTCCTCCAAACATAACGATGGTCATTATGGCCAAACAGTTCTATTTTTGTTTCATCAGACCAGATGATATTTCTCCAAAAAGTACGATTTTTTTTTTTTTTTTTTTTTTTTTTTGTCCCCATCTTTGTCCCCATGTGCAGTTGCAAACCGTAGTGTGGCTTTTTTATGGCGGTTTTGGAGCAGTGGCTTCTTCCTTGCTGAGCTGCCTTTCAGGTTATGTCGATATAGGACTCGTTTTACTGTGGATATAGATACTTTTGTACCTGTTTCCTCCAGCATCTTCACAAGGTCCTTTGCTGTTGTTTTGGGATTGATTTGCACTTTTCGCACCAAAGTACATTCATCTCTAGGAGACTTAACGCGTCTCCTTCCTGAGCGGTATGACGGCTGCGTGGTCCCATGGTGTTTATAATTGCGTACTATTGTTTGTACAGATGAACGTGGTACATTCAGGCGTTTGGAAATTGCTCCCAAGGATGAACCAGACTTGTGGAGGTCTACAATTTTTTTTCTACATTTACATTTTAGTCATTTAGCAGAAGCTCTTATCCAGAGCGACTTACAGTTAGTGAGTCTATACATTTTTTCATACTGGCCCCCGTGGGAATCGAACCCACAATCCTGGCGTTGCAAGCGCCATGCTCTACCAACTGAGCATTCAATGCATCATCACATTTGCAGACTTATTGAAGATAGCCTACTATTCGTAATGTGATGAGTAGATTGTATGATCATAATTAAGCTAATAATATAACGCAAACAAAAAAAGACCGTTCAATGCATGGCTGAGCACCTATATATACCATCAGCCTGGTGGAAGCCCAGATACCCCTGATCCCAGTGCAGCCTTCACACCATCAGCCTGGTAGAAGCCCAGATACCCCTGATCCCAGGGCAGCCTTCACCCCATCAGCCTGGTGGAAGCCCAGATACCCCTGATCCCAGTGCAGCCTTCACCCCTTCAGCCTGGTGGAAGCCCAGATACCCCTGATCCCAGTGCAGCCTTCACACCATCAGCCTGGTAGAAGCCCAGATACCCCTGATCCCAGTGCAGCCTTCACCCCTTCAGCCTGGTGGAAGCCCAGATACCCCTGATCCCAGTGCAGCCTTCACACCATCAGCCTGGTAGAAGCCCAGATACCCCTGAGCACAGTGCAGCCTTCACCCCATCTCACCAGTCTACACTGACCTGTCAACCTCCCAGCCTGCCACAGTCTACCCTGACCTGTCAACCTCCCAGCCTGCCACAGTCTACCCTGACCTGTCAACCTCCCAGCCTGCCACAGTCTACCCTGACCTGTCAACCTCCCAGCCTGCCACAGTCTACCCTTACCTGTCAACCTCCCAGCCTGCCACAGTCTACCCTGACCTGTCAACCTCCCAGCCTGCCACAGTCTACCCTGACCTGTCAACCTCCCAGCCTGCCACAGTCTACCCTGACCTGTCAACCTCCCAGCCTGCCACAGTCTACCCTGACCTGTCAACCTCCCAGCCTGCCACAGTCTACACTGACCTGTCAACCTCCCAGCCTGCCACAGTCTACCCTGACCTGTCAACCTCCCAGCCTGCCACAGTCTACCCTGACCTGTCAACCTCCCAGCCTGCCACAGTCTACCCTGTCTCACTAACCTTCCAGCAGTCTGACCATGTTCATCTTAACATACATCCAGAGGAC